TTCTTTGTTGTGCACGGCCACCAATGCTACTCCACACGAGCGGATGTTTCATCACAATCGAAAATCCGCAGTCGGTACGTCCTTGCCACAGTGGTTGCTTTCCCCAGGACCAGTTTTGATGCGGCGAAACACACGATCTTCAAAGTACGACCCCCTAGTCGAAGAGGTCGAGCTCCTGGAATGTAACCCTGAGTACGCATATGTCAGACGCCCTAACGGCATGGAAGAAACGGTCTCCTTACGCCACCTGGCGCCTTCAGCAGATTTCGGATGTGCTCCAGCATCCGAACAGCAACAACCGGAGTCCAAGCCGATTCATCTCGTGCCTCTTTCCGTTGGCATGGCAGCTGAGAAGCGGAAGGGCGCTACAGCTGAATGATATATTTATTCATCATTTAATACGACGAGCCTTGTTTGCTGCCCCAGTGATTCTGGTCCATGTGCGCATAACTCAAATGTGAATACGATGCAGCCAGCTAACGTTTGCTATGCTGCGAGAAGGGCTGTGGCCACACCGGGCCCTTGATGGTCTTTCAACAACAACAACAATCAACACAGTAAAACAATAAAGTACCCTCTAACTGGAGATGTTTATGAATGCCCTAGGAGCCTCTGACTAAAGTGGCCGACAACAGATGGCACACGCTCCTGAGAACCCCCTCAAAGGGATAGTGCATTGCTAGGTAGCTGGGCCTTTGAGCTGTTATCACCATGATCCATTCTGACTAGTGGGACTGTATGCAAATGAGCTAACGCTGTCAATCAATTGACGGTGAAATATGAAGATGGATACTCGATGAACACTGGCCATCGTTAAAACCGATCGCTATCAAAAGCCGGCGTCGTCAGGTAAGTGCCTCAAGGTGGACCAATGACCAAACCGAAACCTTATTTCTTCGTCCGGATGCATGTCTAGAGAACCCACGCGCAAGACTTTTTCTACGGCACTTGTTTTAACTGGTCTGCGCCACGAAGACACATTCCGTGCATCACACTCGTTATTGTGTACAATTTTATTTATTATTCATGCATTTATTACGGAATCAGCAACGCAATAAGACCGGGCCGATTCTGTGGGTTAAGGGTTATTCTCTAGCGTCAGCTACCACGTATGCGAAGGAATGTAAGAAATGAAACCATAAAGCATTTGTTCAACGTTCGCATCGCAGCCTACTGAATCAACACAATCCACGAAGGATGCTAGAAAGTCTCAGATTTATGACGTGTTCTAAGAAATCATGCGATGCAGAAGAAACGAAGACCAAGGCTGATTACAGTACGCAGGAACATACAAGGATCCTGGATACCCAACTGATTTTCAAGAACATCACTATTACCATAACTTTTCAATTTTTCATGTTTGCGGCTTATAAGGAGTTCATGAAAAGCCTTGTAGGATTTCAACAACAAATAGAACCTTAAGTTGGTTTATGTACACTGCAACAGCGTTTCCAAATGTTCGTTCCAGTCGCACTCCGTCTTTGCCTAAGGTGTAACTTTTTTAAATATAATCCCCGGTGACTTACACGGCCTCTACATGCATGTGATGAGTGTTTCGACACAAATGGATGATACCTAAGGCGCCATTCAGCGACTGTGTATAACTACACAGCCGAAATGAGGTATTTATCGTGCAGTTCCAATTAGTATGGGACGAACTAACGAGAAATTGTTTACGAGGTTGTGGTAATAGCATCAGCCGATTTTCAAACGTTTATGCCAACTTTTGGCGTACTTATTCCGAAGTCGGTGGGATTGAGAAGTACCATGTTTCGTTGCCTGGCTCGCAGGGATTCAAATTCCGATTAACTGTCATACAGTGAGGCGAAGTAAGTATTCGTGGAATGAGAGACCGAAATCCACTTAGTAGGACGTCATGCCTAGTCAGATGCACATGGGCGAAACTACTGCAGCTTTTAAACCACAATAAGCACCAGGCTTGTCCTGGAGAGTGAAAAAAGGTCTTAGGGGAGGCCTAGAACATCACGTGAAGCTATCAGACCTTCGGGGGAAACGCTACAATATGGCGGTATGGATACCAAGCTTTCGATACTTTAAAAACGCTTTAACATGCATCACTACTCCAAAAATCAACACAGTCACTCCGCATGTCTTTGCGCTTCTACAGTTCAAGAAAACTCGGAAAGGTAGGCGGAAACACGCACCGATACGATTTCACCGCTCCCAAGTAGGCGCTGCTACGGCCAAGGAGGCTATCCGGCAGACGATTGGCCAAGAGATAGGGAGCTCTGATTGGCCGAAAGCCCGGACCAAACAAACAGTCATGCCAGCTTGCCCAGTGCCGCATCCAGAAGGCGTCAGAATTTCCAGAATGATGTTGCAGCATGCATTTTATAAGCGCGCACTGTACGTCTGCTTTTGGCCTGGCTTTTGGAGGTAACACAAGTTGTTCATCTTTGGTGGTTGTCTTGACGGGAACGCTAACTTGGAAGGTTCAGATCGGGAATAAAGCTTAGGAAATGCCGGTATTACACGAGACGAATGAGTTAATTGCTGGATGATAGTTAGAAGTATGTTCACAAAACCCTTTAATAACGGCGGCTCCATATTTAGGGACACTTTTTTGCTCTCGTCGAGTGTTTCTCACCGTAAATATACAGAAGTCCACAAGCTTGAGCTTCAGCAACAGATATTATCACTTCAGATCTGCTTGACATCCACAAAATCTTTAGGCGTCCGCAGCGGTTCGGGTTGTCGCAGATCAGGCCCGCTGATACGGACCAATACAGGGAGTGCACAGAAAACAAAGATGGTGCTCTAATGACTACGGGCGGTATCTCGAATCGGCCTTCCCGCTGCCCCAAAACAGCTGTTGAACAGACATCCCAATCACTTTCCTTGGTGTCCTCCACAAGAGATCCAAAATTCGCAACAAACCGCTTTATAGAATTTGCTAATATGTTGAGCAAATGAGTTTGAATTGTTGTCCGCTGACAAGTGACTGCTTCTTGTGCTTTTGGCAACGCCTGTCAGAGTATCCCCGTAGGCGCAACGTTACCAGACACCTGCTTATCATAACTTACCGAGGCACCACGGTACTTCTGCTAATCTCAGAGACAATCACTAAAAAACTTTTAGCGCCTCAGTCGAATCCAATGGTCCCCAACAAGGGAGGCGGAAGTTACCCCCTGGTTCAGGTTACTGGTTGAAGATTTCACCCCTCATAGTCAGGATATTGTCCGCCCCTCAGTCACTTCCACTTGGTACGGTACTGGGCTAAAAGGCCCCGCACAACAGATGGTCTTCAGGCATGCGGAGTATTGTCTTAACCTGCATAACCCATGGAATGTGTGTACTTCACCTATCGCGGAGGAGTTCTTTCTTCCTAACACAGTCTGGCCTACATCGGCATTATCCCGACGTTTCCACTAGATGCGATTATTGCTTCGGATACACTGGTGGTTAAACCCTGACATCTTTCGTATATCATTTGTGTGTAGGCTACTTCTCTGATCCGTTAAACAGTAAGAACTGTCTCCCACATTGCATCATATATCCTTGACAGACAAGCTGCCCTCACGTCGTCGCCGTGGGTATCAAAAACTGGTACAATCTGTCCTGGCCCTCCCGATTTTATAATTTTTCAGGTGTGAAAGACATTCCAGACTGTGTGACAGAGCTAGTGGAATTGCTTGGAGAAGTTTGCATTATTGAAGGGCCTGAACCAGGAGGAGCAATGTCACCCACTACTCAATGAGCTACCAAGGGGTCGCGTTGGTTTTTCCTGTGGCTTTGCTGTTATAAAGGCCATGCTCAAGAGGCGACCTAAAAATGTGGAAACAACAGAAAATTTTAAAAACTTACGCAGATCCCACTGGCATGAATAAAGCCTCATCGGTTTGAGGGCTCTACAATGGAGCAGCGATTGTGCTCCCAAATGTCTCAAACAATCAGTCACCGATGTGCGAGCGTTCCACTTTGAGCTTTTGCTGAAACTAATAGCTCAGAGATTTTTATTCTCTGAAACGTCGTCCATGGTATTCAGTGGCCTGTTCCACACTCGTTTTCTGAAATCCCTTTATTACCTACCAGAACGCGAACTTTACTCTTGAAAACTGATTTTTAACGTTGCAAATAAACGAATATGCCTGATTTCTCCAACTTTTTGTTGAACACAAATCAACATGTGTTCCCTAAACTTAACAAACCGTTGAAAATCTCTTTTGTTCTTCCTTTGTTGTCAAATTGCACATGGCCACAAAGTGAAGTGACATTCTGCAGGGAACAGTTTTTCTTTGCTTCCGGATAAAAGCTTTCTATCGATCGACAGATCATTGAACCCTAAAACGCTTCATGGAGAATGCAAGTGTTTGTCACCAAAATAAGCCTTGTTGACTACAGTGAAATTATTGGCCGATGTACACAATCGGAGGCTTGTCTGCTCCAAGAAGTGGGAATATGAGTAGCAAAATAGACCAGTTTGTATTTTCAGCACGCTACAACTCGAAATTGAACATCATTAAATATCCATTGAAGAAAGTGATGGGGCCCCATTGCTTTTAGCCTTGCAACGACCTCCATCAAGTCGCCGATTCCCCTTCGCGGTAACAAGTGGAGTGGCGCGCTTTCAAAAGGTAATTGATGCAATGCGCGCCGAAAAACTTGTCGGCACATATGCCTATGTGAAAAAAGTCACCAGTTGTGGGAAGGAACACGATTGCAATTTCCATACCGCTCCAACCCGAGCAAAAAAGGACGGTATTTCGCTGATTTTTGATAAAAGCACGATTTCTGCCGCTAATCTTAGGCTCCATGACTTGAAAATTACGAAAGGTATGATCATTCTAGCTCCTGAACTTTTCACTCTTGTAAGAACTCTTCGTTCTGAAGTACATGTGGTCACAACAACGTGTGTTTAACATGTTCACATACTGTTCTCGTTGAATAAGCCGTTTTTTCTAATGATACCTAGTTAGTCACTCACAACACATTTTCAGACCCTCAGTCAGATATAGGAAAATTTGAAATTTTTGAACAGTAGTTGTGAATGTAATTGTGGTCACTGGCGATTTGAGCGTACCTCTGATACTCAAAACTACTGTGCTGTAATTTCCGCCACAACCAAGCGAATTACGTACCGGTCGCATCCTTTTTACGTACATAACCTGCCATTAAAAAACCACCCAGTTATTGGAAAAAACGTACACATTTACCGAGGCAGCGCGTAAATGAAAGCAGGATCCACTTTATTATTGGAGCCCGTCAGTGGTCTTTTGCACTCGTGTATTTAACATAGCAGAAAAGGAAGATTTAGAAAGCCAAGGATGGCAGATACAGTTAATATCTGGTTCTTTTGATGTTTCTTACAGACCAGGCGCTGAAAGCAGCTGCTGATACGCTCTATCGGACTCTGTTTGAACGCTTCATCTCACATGGACCTAAAATGGTTACACGCAACTCTGAACCATCATGGAGCAACGCGGGTGATGCACTTCATTTGCGCCAATAACCTCAAACTTCTCAAAGGGGACATCCCAGCTATCATTTGCGTGCGGAGCTAAAGCCACATTACCACAAGCTATGTGATGGTACACTAATTAGAGCCACACCTTTGTTCGAATGTTTAAGCACTGACTTCAAAAGACCACTGATATCGACTACTCAAAATGAATACCAACTGATAATCGGGGACTACTGCTTCTGCTCCCTGCTTGCCTACTCGTGCTCAGGGGGGTTCACGTAAGGTGATATTCTATCTTTTTACACTTTTCTGCATCTGGCTTTCCTGAGTTCGTGCATCGATCATTTGTTCCGAATGATATTAGGCTATTTGTTTATGAAAGGGGCATTGCCATCAGTCTGACTAGTCCACAGTCTAAGGTGGCTCAAGGTGCGCTATACCCGATTCCTTGAATTTCCGATCCCTCACAAATAACGCTACCCTCAGGTAGCCAATTACAAACGAACTAGTGCATGATTTGGCAGGTTCTATTTCCACCAGTCTCTAAATATTTGCTGTATCTTATCACGCCACCTTTCTTCAGACTCATGCTGGTCCTTCTTTATGTCCCGTGTCCTATTGCGGCGTGATATCAGCAAGCTCAGCTAATCCTTGGTCGTTAGGCTACCGAGCCAGTAGTTGACTGCTAGCCACTGAGCACAAATTCATCCCAATCTGCTCTCATTTATGCACTAATTCTTGCCACCTTAACTGTGGTAATTTTCAGTTGATGAACTCCGCCTTATCTAACACCTCATTAAATTCACCGGTATTCCTGATCTCATCCCATTCCATCCCCTCCTCAAGGCTTGAGCACTTTTTTATAGTCATGTTACAATCCACTCGGTCTGCTTTTTGCACCTAAAAGAATCTACAACCAAACCAAAACAAACTGTGATCATACATTGGCTTTGTTTTGCCTCCCTGGACAACCGAACTCCCGCTGATCCTAAGGTAACACGTTCTGGGTCCGAATACCCCAAACGTGACATCCGTTACGGGGCTGTCCAGAAACCTAAGTGCCAGTGCAATAATGGCACGGCACTACGACATCAATTATGACGGCACACTCGCAACTATTCCCTTCGTACACATGAGTGCGCCCTTTCACTTACCTGGTTCCTTGCCTGAAGCTGTGAACAAATTTTCTACCTGGCCGCTGCGGCCTCCGGAACAGCTCCATTCTAACCTACTGAACCCTTCGATCGGATCTAAGCATCTGATTGAAAATTTCAGTTTAAGATTCCCACAAAATCGATCGTTTTCTGTACAGTTTGCGTTCTGCCTCGCTTGTTAGAAACAACTCGCCCTTCAAGGGAAATTTCGCATCCGACTCCGCTCCAACAACAACGCCAGAAAGTTTGTACAGATTCACTGTACGCTGTCATTCTAAGAGCCAAGGTAACATATACCCTTAATGCAAGTCTCCTCACCTCATCATCCTCATTTATGCCTTCTGTTACGCTGGCTGTAAACCTAAGTGTTCAAGGCACATAGCCTCTGCTTTAATGGAGCAGATGCAGTTAGTGGACATGTTTATTGGAAAAAGTACTAGCCTAATGCTCGTGTGGGACCAAGACCAATCACAGTGGGAATAGTCCTCGGCCAATCAGGGAGGCAGCGTTTTTGTCATGCAGGTGGGACAACAGGGTGGCCATCACTGGGTTAAGGACTAATGAGAAGAATGAAAGAGTTATTTCAATGCAATAAGGATGAAAAATATGCCTCATCC